TTTTTTTTTTTTTTTCAAGATTTGGAAGCACCGATCGATAATTAAATCGTAGTAAGATTACTGGTGCCGATGAGCAATGAAGTTATATCTTGTTTAATTGCACGCCGTTACAGCTCTCTGAAAACTTACAACCCAACAAATTAGCCAACCTGCCTGCTCTGAGCAAAAAAGCTTTACCTCCTTAGCCTTTACACACCTCCCATCAGCCACTGCTATCTGCGAATGCCATTTTCATCGATCCTAGTTCCCAAGCCATGCGCCTTCCAGCCAAAGCATAAACTCCACTAATGCCTCGTCAAACAAAAAAATGACCCTTCATGGCCTTCTCTTCTGCATCCGTTTGCACTAATTAATGTGAAATCAATTACAATATAAACCTAGCTAAGCTCAAAAACTTTTCTGGTGTAACTGTTACTGTTCTGGTAAACAGAAGTCATGAGGACTCTTCTTTCAGTTTTTCTTTTCTTGTTCTACTTCACCTATCCTTCTTCACAGACTTCTCGGGAATTAATCTTTAACACCAATAGCACAAAAACATCAAGTAATAGTACTAGGTTCATGACTTTCATAGCTCTTGTTGATCCACTTTGTAAACCCTCGCCTTTCTTCTCTCATCATCACTGGTACTCTTCTCTACTTACCTCTTCTTCTTCAACTACTTCTTTCATTCACATTTACAACACTCTCATTCATGGCTTCTCTGCATCTCTCACCCCGTACCAAGCCATCCACATCAACAGCTCACATGGGGTTCTCTCTTTGTTTCCCGATTCAATCTTTCACCTCCACACAACGCGTTCCCCATCTTTTCTTGGCCTTAATAACTTAAAACTTAAGCTTCAAAACTCTTCAGGATCCAACGTTATTATAGGATTCATGGACACGGGTATTTGGCCTGAACACCCAAGCTTTGCAGATGATGGATTAGAACCCATCCCGGCTCATTGGAGAGGCAAATGCGAAACTGGGTATGGGTTCAATCAATCAAATTGTAACAAGAAATTAATAGGAGCCCGGTTCTTTTCGGGTGGTTATACGGCATTTTTTGGACACTTGGATCACCTTGCCAGTGAATTTCGGTCACCAAGAGACCATGATGGCCACGGTACACATGTTTCGTCGATAGCTGCAGGAGCTCCAGTTACTGGATCCAGCTTCTATGGGTTTGCTGGCGGGTTGGCCGAAGGCATGGCTCCAAATGCAAGAATTGCGGTTTATAAAGTATGCTGGGTCTCGGGTTGCTTGCTATCGGATATTTGTGCTGCTTTTGAGAAGGCAATTCTAGATGGCGTTAATATCATATCAATATCTCTTGGTTCGTCCCGTTTACCATTTCATCTTGACCTATTATCAATTGTATCACTTCGAGCATTTTCTGGTGGTGTATTTGTCTCCTCCTCGGCAGGAAATGAGGGGCCTTCTTGGGCAAGCATCACCAATGCTCCACCATGGATCACAACAGTTGGTGCAGGAACAATTGATCGAGACTTCCCAGCAAAATTGCTTCTTGGTAACGGAATATCGATTACGGGAATATCTATCACTTTGACTCGAGAAAGCAAATTGACCCGAGGATTTCACCGGCTTTACTTTGGTGGTGAAATCAGCTCATCTAAATTTAGTTTCTCACGCCAATTAGTCAAGGGCAACATTGTACTCTGCTTGACCACCGGGCACATGCCAAGAATGTTGCTGGGAGCATCACTACTTTCACTTGGAGCAGTAGCTATGGTCATATGTCACGGTAGTATTGACCCAAAAGGGATTATCTCGGAACCTCATGTGATCCCAACTATTACCGTCGGCATCTTGGAAGCCAAGTTAATTGAGGATTATATTTTGTCTAGTTACAGTCCTGTGGCAAACATTTCATCTCAGGGAACTGTAGAAAAGCATGCAAAACCAGCACCCGTTGTGGCCTCCTTCTCATCCAGAGGACCCAATTCAGCTGTGCCCGGGATACTGAAACCTGATGTTATAGCTCCCAGTGTGAACATATTAGGGGCATGGACGGACGCCATTGGACCTTCTAGTGTGGCCTTAGATAATCGACGGTCACAATTTAACATTATGTCCGGAACTTCCATGGCATGTCCCCACGTATCAGGGGTGGCAGCGATTATCAAATCGGTCCACCCCGATTGGGGTCCGAGTGAAATAAAATCAGCCCTAATGACAACCTCAATTACGCATAAATTGTATTACTACAGAAATGTGTCCTTGTGGAGTTCATCATTAATTCTTGATGAGTCCACAGGGAAGGCTGCTAACCCGTTTGATTTTGGAGCTGGGCATATACATCCTGAACGAGCACTGGATCCCGGTTTGGTATTTGATTTGGGTTACCAAGATTATATTGATTTTCTATGTCAATTGAATTACACCAAGAACGAGATACATATTATTAGTGGAAAACATGCAAATTGTTCAAATATCGGCGAAGGGCAATTGAATTACCCGGCTATAGTTGTAGCAGCAGAGAAAGTTGGTCGCAAGGGAGTGAACTTTTATAGGAGGCTGAAGAATGTTAATGAAGTTGGGTCAAGAAAATACAAGGCGAAAGTGGTGGGTCTTACAGGGTTTTATAAGATTGGTGTGATACCTAAGAAGCTTAAATTTTCCAAGATTGACGAGAAGTTGAGCTTCAAAATTGCTATAAGAAAGGAGAAAGGGGTGCCAAAAAGGAATAGTTTGTGGGTTGGAGCTTTAATTTGGCATGAAATCGGTGGAAAGCATAGGGTTAGGTGCCCCATTGTCATCTTTTCTGGACAAGGTTGATCTCCTGCAATAATGTTACTATGAGTAAATCTTTCTTCTATTTATATAATGAAAGAGGATTTCACTTTGCTGGCGATTTGCTATTAAGCCAATTAGGATCAGCTAATGTTTTTATTTTTGGTTATGTTTGTCGCACCTAACATTTAAAAGATTGTAAATTGTAAATAATAATATATATAAATATATGACAGGAAAGAATAATAATGTCATCCTACCCAGATCTCTTGCTGAAAGTTGCTATTAGCTTCAAATCTACGAGTTTTCATTTATTATGCTATTTTAGGTCAAATGATATAATCTTATTTAGTGAATTTATATTAATAGGGTTATAATACTCAAATTATTTCTTTTTAGTTATTTATAAATTGTTTGGCATCCAAATATTGAGAATTCCAGGATGGAATCCTTTGTAACTTTCAAAGATTGAGTGATAATACTCAAAACGTTGCTTTTTATTACAAGAACTTGAATGATCGAAATTCAAAGCTGACAACGGATATAGAAATCGGTCTTTTGAATCCAAATTCAAAACCAAGTCCTTTCGAGGCCCAATGGATCCAGGCCTAACATGATATCTATAATGATGAAAACAATTGAGAGCAATAACAAGGAGAGCACAATAAGCAGCCCATCAACGAAAATGAATTTGCGGCCTCATCATCATTCTTTTACTTTATATTTATTTCACACTGAACAATCGAACAAAATGAGTGATGAATTTAGATTTTATAAGTATATCTTTATATATTTTTACATGTCTTTGCCATAAAAAAATATTAAATCAAAACAAATATATCTAGATATAATTTTCTCATATCCTCAACCGTGTTGAAAGGACATTTAGAAATATCAAACATGCTCTAATAGATATATCTTGAATTTGATCAAAGCCAAACTTAGCCATGGTTGAGCTGGACATTGTATCATGTATGATAGGTCTGGTGTTTTTTGAACTCAATTCTAATTAGATTTGGAATTATATCAAGTTCAAATATGTTGGTCTTAATGCTTCTCAGACTAATATTTATTGGATTTTGTAATGTATTGAATTTAGGGATGCTAGCTCTAGCACTAGACCCAATTCTTTTTTCTTTTTTTTTTATTTACGTGGGATGTTCGGGCCAGCTTACGCGCACCACGACTAATCCTCACAGCCCACTGAACATCCTGCAAGCCCAGTGAGCAGGTAAGGCACCGCAGGGGTGACAGGCGTGCATGATGAGGTTCGAACCCAGGTGCAGAGGAAGGGGACAAGCCCCTCCCACCGCTAAGCCAGAACCTCACTTGCCACTAGACCCAATTCTTCTTAGGTTTAGCAGTGTATCGATTTTAGATATATTGAGTCTGGCGCTGGCTGGATGAAGAAGTAATTAAATCTAAACATTATCAATTTTATAGATTTTTATATAAAATTTAAAAGAATTTATTTCTTCACAAATAAACTTTAATAAAGTTTTTATGTAAGCTTAATAAAACAAGTCTTTGCTTTGTTAATACCATTAAATATATTAAAATCTTTCGTGCTAAGCCACTTTCTGCAGTCCATTTTCAGTATCTTAGATTCAAGCTGAGTATCTCTTGTTCATGATCATCAGCTTGGGGAGACGTATTAAAGCATGTATTTTTGAGAAGATTGTTACAATATTTAACCTTCCTTTTATATCTTGTATATGATATATTCACTTGTATAAACATGTAAAACCTACATAAGTTTACGCCTTGTTCTGCTTATTTTGTTGTCCCTGACTTGATTCTCATCATAAAAGGAAGACATTTATTCTGTTGAAAGTACAAATACAAGATATTCTTTGAAATTTACAGGAAACTGTTGGAACCACCAAAAACATCCAAAGATCAAATACGGACACCACTAGCTGTGTGGCAAGGTTTGCGATCAAGCTTAACACAGCAGCAGCAAAGGCAGAAGAAAATGTTACAGTTTCCAATCAGAATTTTGAAAACAGGCTATGTCCCCTTTAAGCGAAGAAAGTGTTTTGGTGAATAGAGCCTAAACAAATTGAAGGCTGAGATGAATGATATCATGGCCATAAGCACAGATGCTATGAAACAACATGTCAAAGCGCCGCCGATTTGGAAGCAGAATCTTGTGAATTTATTGCACCACTTCACCCATTGAAAGACCTTTGCACCGGTAAGGACTAGAACTGAGTGCTCAAGTGCTGCTAAGTGTGCTGCGAACGTAGTGTACACTGCTAACTGTTTAGCAGATAGAGAACAATAATGCACATGAGCATAATTCATATGTGCGACAAAGCCTAAGTAGAAGAGTAGGGTTTCAATTCATATCCTTCCCTATATTTTTTATGAACAATGAAGGATTTTTTTTGCATTCACTTTTTTTTTCAATTTTTTTTAGTTTTATTATTTAATATTTACTTAATTTTAAATTTTTATTCATAAATTAAAATTACCCTTATCTTAAACAAACATTTCAATATTTATTTTTACTTGGTTATATTAGCATTTTTTTTTGTTATCATATAATTAAATAAAAAATAATTTAAAAAAAATAAAAATAAAATTATTAAACCTAATAAAATTTATTATCTAAATCATGAATTTAACTAGTTAAGCAAAAAAATTCGGGTCAATTCAATACATTAACATTTTAATATTAAAAAAAAAATCTTAAATTTTTTTAAAATTAAATTGTATTTTTTATCCGTGATCTTATTTATTATTAAATTTAACATGTTGATTGATTTATATTAAAAAAAAATATTTAAAATTTAAATTTAAATTAGTAAAAAATTAGATAAAAGATTTCTGAATCAAATTTAATAATAAATTAAACAATTTTTTATGGGGTAAGCTTTTATAAAAAAAAAAAGAGGTAAAAAGAAATTAGATTCGAGCCTCACAGCAGCGCTGCCTACCCTGTAAATTAATTAGTACATCAAAATATGTGGACTTTAGGTAAGCCAGCACGTCAATTACAGATACTAATTAATTAAACACTTTGGAAACTTGGTTGTTAGGCATGCAGCTTAATTTTAGTGATGTTTTTGAAAAATAGCTTCCTAGAGCTTGTATCCGTGGCGATATTAGAAAAGAAAGCAACAAAATGTAACAAATATAGGGTTAATTCGATGAGGTTTTTAATAAGGATTTATTTGCATATTGGCACAAACACAAACTAAATTAGTTTCCTCAGTATTGTTGGCAAGCGCTAAGTTGAGAGTTATATAAACCAAAAAAAAATTGAATGTCAAGTCACAAATAATTATTTGATATTATAAATAATTTTAATTAAATAAATCAACTTTAAAATTCATTGAATTAACTTGTTTCTAAACTTATTTCAAGTCTAAATTTAAAATTTAGGTATAACTTAGTTAAGGTAAGTTGATAAGTTTAAAAATAACTTGAATAATAAATAAAAATTATAATTTAATTTTAAAAAAGTTAAATGATATTTTTTTAAATTAAAAAAATAATATATTAAATTAATCATAACTTTATAGTTTAACCTGTTAAATCTATTTTTAGATTATAAACTTTAAAAATTTAATAATTTCTTTTTAAAATTAAAAGAAAATATCATCTCCATAAAAGTTTTCTAAAACAAAAATTCAATGACAGAAAAAAAAAAATTATAGTAAAAGTGTGACCACCAGACAACATACTGTTTCAAAATATTTAGAGAAAAAAATAAAATTTGAAAAACATTATTGACTGTTATGTTTTTATATACGCCAGCATTTAATACATTTACCTACTCATCAGTTAGTAAATAGATAAGTGATGGAAGATTAACATAATTATCAATCAAAGATGTTGCAAATCAGAGTAAATGTGGAGGGGATCACAGCCCACGAGCCATTAAGTAAAAGGCTGCCGCAAAATAAGAAGGAGCAATAAGTAAAGGTGGCTCGGCTCCACTACTTAGTTGCTTCATTTATGGTCCTGTAATTCAGTAATATTTGTCCTTTCTCGATAAAGTTCTTTGTCGAGTTCTTGAAATGACAGTGCCAGTGGTATTCAGTGAGTCTTTTTGACCTTTGAGTAAAGTTCTGTATATGAATCAAGCCAGCACTCAGCAAGTCTGTGTGGGAAAAGATGTACCTGGTCCAACACGCAACAAGCCCAGGACAGATATCTGTAAGATCCCTTCAAGTTTCCTAGACCCCACGCGGACACAGAGCATCTACATAGCTGAAGCAGATTGTAAGCAGCAGCTACAGCATCCACATGCACCAAAACTCTTTAAACGCAGCGCACGCAAACCAAGCATAATCAAGCAAGAAGGTGAATGTTTAGAACACGTTAAGAATTAACTATAAATACTGGTAAATATTTAGAGTTGACAAGGAAAAGATAACTTACACAAGGGCGTGCAAGTCCTTGTAGGTAACTTCCTTTTCATAGACTATTACAAACTTGGTTTGAGAGTCTAAACCTACTAAACAAGCTGTTGAGACTAAGAGCAATATAGCAATACCTCTTAGAATAGCCTCTATTTTGGCTATCTCCAGCGCCATTCTCTCGACTATATATATCAAATAATCTCTGCTCTGCTCACAATCCTCCTCCTGCAGAACCTTTTGTAGGGCTTGGAAGTAGGCTCCATATGAGGTAGGGAGAGAGGGGAAAACTACCGGTTAGTGGATGCCCACGAGAACACGTTTAATGCATTAAATGCTGGGGTGTCTTTTTTTTAGTTTTTGGCTATGGCCCCGATTGTATCTTTATGTTTGACACATGCATGCCAAAGAAGAGGTTCTATACTGAGCATTGTTGAGATGTTAAATCCATCCTAGAAAATGTTTATACATGAGGAATATATATATATATATATCAACAAGTAATTGTTTAAAAATAATTTAATTGATTTGCCTTTTTAAGTTCTCACAAATGAAACCATGTTCTCCTATGAGGATTTTTTTTCTATTTTATTACTTGATTGATTTTCTTTTTAACTAAACCATACTGAAATAATAAATCATGAATGATGTAGAAAATATAATATATACCAAATAGTCAAAATAACAAGGCAAAGCCTCATGCTAAATTATTAATGTTTAGATAAAAAAATATTTTTTTATTTCTATATTCATTTTCAATTCTACCAGGGCTTTGAATCATTTTGAAAAAAAAAATAAGAAGATCTTATCAAGTTCTTTTCATTAAAAAAATAAAGTCACTCCAATTTAAATATAAAGTAATATGTTTGGTATTTCTTCTATTATTTTTAAAAAATTATTTTAATTCAGAAATTTAAACTGTAATTTGTAATTTGTATGTATTATATTATTTTCTAACATAAAATTAAATACTTTAAAATACATATAATAGTTATGTGTATGCATTTCCCTTATTGATTTAAAATCAAAATAAAACGCTTTACCTAATGGCTAGACACAAGTTTTGAACTGGTCGACAATGGATATGGTTCGTAATAAACAACCTTGAAAAGCCTAAACATTAATTTAATCTCTCCTCACTCCTTTTTTTTTTTTTACATTCTACTGTATTTGATATGTATAGCATATACTAGTTCCAAATTTCATGTAATTCTTTAGCAGTGTTATTAAATCTAAAAATATAGTTGTTTTGAATTAAATTTAAATATATTTTTTTATCAATGTATTTTTTGTTTATCTTAAAAAACATAAGATTATTAACTAGAATTTTTCATATTAAAAAAACATTTTATGATTTTTATAACAAGTCAATAAAAACCATTAAAATTTTTTTTTATGATTTTTATAACAAGTCAATAAAAAAAATCAAAATAATATGTGCATGTTTTATGTGTCAACGAAAACTAAAACTAAAAATAAAAAATTATAATATTGTTTAAAAAATTATGTCAAAACTAAAATGTAAATGAATCTAGCTTAAAATATATATATATATATATAATAAAATCATATTCAAATTTATTTAAAAACTTTAAGAATAGAAAACAACTTGAATTGAATTTCATGAATAATTTATTATTTGTATTATTATTTTCATATTATATGTATAATAATTGAAAAAAAATATTAAAATTCAAATAAAAATAAAACTAAAAATAAAAATAAAAATAAAAAATTATAATTTTTTTTTCTTTTTTCTTTTTATTAAGATCCTCAGAAAATATTGCCTCATCTAACTCTCTAATCCACAATTTTTTAAGTTTAGATACATATGCTTGCCGACTAAGCTATGATACAAAATTATTATCATATAGCTTAAACAAATATATTAATATTTTTCACTCTTTATAGAAATAATGAAATATCATAAAGAATTCTAGTACTCTCTTTTCTTTTTTCTTTTTATTACTCTCTCTCAAAGAAAATATTGCCTCTTCTAACTCTCGAATCCACAATTTTTTAAGTTTAGATACATGTGCTTACCAACTAAGCTATGATACAAAATTATTATCATATAGCTTAAACAAATATATTAATATTTTTCACTCTTTATAGAAATAATGAAATATCATAAAGAATTCTAGTATTCTTAAGTTGTAGGAAATGGATAAATTAAAAACAAATGCACAAACATGTGGAATGCTTTCATTATATGTGCGTGTATTTTAGAATTTTAACACCTTTTTTTATAAAAGTTTAGAAAAAATATAATATGTTAAAAAGATATTAGAAAAATAACACAATTTAAATAAAAAATCTATTAAAAATAACAGTTATTCTAAAAATCTATGTCCTCCTCAATTTAATAAATATGCATAAAAAAGTCAACCATGCTTTTAAAAATCTTGACAGGCAAGTCTAATCATATCTTAAAAATCCACCAAACATGATTATAACTCATTAAGGATCTGTTGGGTGTTAATTTAGGATTAATTGTGATCTCTTCTAGTGTTTTTTTAAAATATATTTAAATTTATTTTATTGAGATTTTTTTAAAGATATAGAGTATGTCAGTAATAGTCTCACAAAACCATTTTTTTTTCTTCTCTCATTTTTTTTATTGCAACATCACCTTATTTCTTTTTTTTTTACTTGATTATTGAATCTTGAATCTTATTTTTTGATTGTCAAATATTCATAAAACAAAATTGTTAAGTTTGTTGGCATTAATTAATTTAAAAATATATATAAAAATTATTTTGAAACATTTACTAAACAATAACTATTTCCAATAGCAGTCCTGTAAAAAATATATTTTGAGAGGCTATCACTATTTTAAACAGTAAGTATATATAAAACAATATTTTAAAACGTGATTGTGTTTAAACTGTGATATTTTTTATTAAAAAAATTCAACCTATAGTATTATCCGAAAACTTTTAGTAAAGTATTCCATTTCTGTTTTATATATATATATATATATTAATGCAGACAGGTGGGAGAGGTGTATATATATATATATATATAAAGCCAAGCCTTCATGCACAGGGTGTTAAGTTGGGTCGATGGCCTCTCCCAACTGTCTGCATTAATGCTAGAAGTCCATCTCATATTCAGCTTTTGAGAAAATATCGAAACTACCCTCGGCCTGGCTCTAGAGGATAGGAAGAAAATGGCATGTCATAACCAAGTTGCTTTCTGTCACAACAGTTCTAAGTATAGCATTAATCTCTGTATTTTAAATAATTCTTTTTTTTTTTATTCATTTATTCACATAGAATGTTCGGACCACATCTCGATTAATCCCTACATTTATATTTTAAATAATTCTTTTTTTTTTTATTCATTTATTCACATAGAATGTTCGGACCACATCTCGATTAATCCCTACATTTATATTTTAAATAATTCTTTATACGCCGGTATGGGCTATAATTCATAAGAATATTTTGCAGTCTCAGTGAAAAGTGGAAGGGTTAAAGATTCACCTGTACAAGATACCATCTTTATTCCAGGAATCCGTAGGATCATAAAAACAATAGTTTTAGAGTGTAAAAAATAATAATATTTAAGTCTCATGAATTTTTTTTTCTCTTTCAGTTAAGAGACAATGTATCAGTTATTTGTACATTTAACCAGTAAAAATAGGTTTTTGGCATGTTCGCCCTTGTATTCTTTTTTTTTTTTGGATTTTTTCAATGTAAAAAATCTTGTGTAGATTCTATACATCTAATTTTGTTAAATCCTATGACCCTTGTCAAGGAATTGTATCAATAAAATCAATACTATAAAAATAAAATTATATATAAATAAATTTCTTTTATAAAAACATTTAAAATCCAAACTAACAATATTTTATCATCCAATTAAAAAATAATAAAGTGAGGATTTAGTTACAAATGTTAAAAATTTTATATTTAAAAAGAAGTAAGAAGGAGAAATTGAAAGATATAATGTAATAACAGAAACAAAGAAAAAAAATTACTGCTAAACCCATATTATTTATATAAAAAAATCATATTTGTTTTTATTTACCTATAAGAATAATTATCTAAAAACACAATTAATCATAAAAAACAAATTGATATTCCAACAAAAAAAACAAATACCTAAAATAAAAAAGCATGCTAGGTGTGCCTACCTGGGTTTACCAACTTGTCTGGGCATTTAAAAAGCCCTAGAACGTGGGCACGAGGTAGGACCATGTGCCTAAGCTAGCTTATTACAACTTAAAATGTAGAGCCTAAGGAGAGAAGAGGGGGGGAAAAAAACTTAAAGGAGGTGATAGATACTATAACCAAAACACAAGTAAAATGAATCAAAGGACAACCCATTAGTGTTCTTTCACTCTATTTACAAAACATAATTTAAATTCAAGATAAATTAATTATAAATTATGCAATACAAACATAATACCAAACAAATATAATTTTAAAATTTAAAATATTTCTAAATAGTTAAAATTAAATAGATCTTTAACTTAAAGTAATTTAACTTAAATAAAATATCAAACTATTATGAAAGTAAAATGTTTTAACACAAATATTTTAAATATAAAGTTAGGTCAATGTTATCAAGACTAATGGAATCTAAAACATCTCTTGTTTTGCTCAAATTCCTACAAAGTATAAACATGAAAAAAACAACATGAATATAAACTATATATATTAGTGATAAATCTAATTTTAAAAAATTAATATCATTGTTAATGAAAATAGTAATAATAATTTTCAATATTATTATTAATATCATTGTTATTGAAAATAGTAATGAAAAAAAGCTTTTTATAATTGAGTGATTTAATTAATTAAATTAAACGAGATTCAATTTAATTCAATGGCTTTTCAGGAGTGGAACGGAACATGTGAAATGAAACCAGAACGTTCCGGGCTTAATTTAGCCAAAAAATTCGGAACGGGTCGAGATTTAAAATGAGATGAAATTTGTTCCGTTTTGTTCTGTTTTTTGAATTGGTATGGAATGTTTCGGCCATTCCGGGCGAAACGGAACAGAATTAATAGCCTTGGTTCTCCTTTAAAAGAAAATTTCATTCACAATATTAGGTTGATCACAGCTACATTTAATAGTTTTATTGATGAATTTTTGTTAGTATTATACTAGCAATTCGTCGGTATATATGTTATTGATGGATTTACATATAAAAACAGTCTATCAAAAAAACTATTGTCTGTAATTTATGAACCGTCAATAAGTCCAACATTAATAAATATATATATAGACTTATCGACTGACAAATCACGTCAAAAAAAAAACTTGCTTGATTTATTTCATTGGTAGCTCTATCAGTAAATTTAACATATCATCGATAAGAAAACCGTATGTAATACCATCAATATTTTTATTTGTTTTTATTTGTGTATTCATTAATCAATATAGCATATCATTGATAAAATATCATCTATAATTCCATTAGTACGTTAATAGTAGCAGTGATATTTGCAGTAATTTTTTTTCGACTCTCTATATTATATCGATGGTCTAGTTCCATTGGTAAACCCATCAATGTAGTGACATTTGCAATAATTATTTTTCAAATTTTTGGAATATACTAATGGAGTTATATCGTTGGTAATATTTTAAAAATATATTGAATATAAGTAGAAAAATAATTAAAATAAAATAAATTAGTATAAAAATCAAATATTTATTATAAATTTAAACATATATATAGTCAAATATAATAAATCTAAAATAAAAACAACGCTAGAAAAGGAGGAAACTAGTTGTCATTAGGATCACGAAACTAATTAGAAGATACGCATGAACCATTTATATGTGATTTCATTTTCATTACTAATCATTAGAATTCTTTATAATCAACAATGAGTTGTTCATATTTATTTTTAAAATAGGTTAGCCGAACTTAAAATAATTTATTTAATATAAGAATATAGTACAACACAACACAATCTAAGATATATTAAATGTGTTTGATATTTTAGCAGTGATTAATTTTTAAAGTGTTTTTTTCTCATTGATATATTAAAATAATATTTTTTTTATTTTAAAAATTTATTTTTAATATCAATATATAAAAAAAATACTAAAAAAATTAATTTTAAATATTTTCTTTTTAACTTTAACCAATAACATTCAAAACACAACTGCAAACACATCCGTGACATTGACACAACAGTGGCTAAATAAACCATCATTGTGTTGCCCGATGTCCTTTGAACTTTTTGATCAACCAAAAGGGGTTAATTTAACACGGCTATTCATGCCTTTCAACTCCTCCTTTTTTTTTTTTCCCCCCGTGAGGAAAGCATACCTATTTAAAAAAAAAAAGAAAAAAAAAGAAACCCCCCCGTGAGAAAGCATACCTATTTAAAAAAAAAAGAAAAAAAAAAAAAAGAAGGCAGAAGGGCGCATTTGAAAAAGAGGAGGGTCGATTCCTGTCTGTCTGTCTCACGCATGACAGGCATGGGGACAAATAAAAGTGCACTCTCATTTATTAAACTCCCGGTGTTTTCATGATGCCACAGGTAGCCGACCATGATAGGCATTAAGGAAAAAGCCCATATACTCAGTCCATTTGACCTCTAAATTAATCTATGACGGCGGCCCACTTGACCCAAGCCTAAGCCTTGTCATTCTAGCCCAATTGAACCATGCAAATTAATTTGACTATATTAATATTCGCAAAACAAAATACAAATTACTCGGCCCATCTATAAGCGAGAGACTTGTTGGTATCCCAAACCCATTCTTCAACTAATTTAAAGTTAAAAATACTTAAAAATCAGTTTTAATATGTGTAGAAATCAATTTAACAACACAGTAAACTCTAAAAATAACTCAAATAATAAAATCAAATGAAATAATATATATTTTAAATAAATTTAAAGTAATTAAATCAAGATAAAACTCTCAACCATTTAAGCTTTTCTTAATTAATTGAATCCACAGGGCAAGTTCCTTGCCTCGATTACCTTTGACTCCAATTATGAGTATAGTTTGAACGTTAACCATTAGGAGGATCTTCTTCATCACAGTCATCACATATAGTCTCATGGAACACCACGCTTCTTGTTGACATGGTGAGATCTTAAGCAGATCTTACATCACTTTCACCATTAATTAATTCACCCCAGCATCTATAAATACTTGTAATATAGCTAGGCCTTTTCTCAAGACCAACACACGCCAAACTTCCTGGCTTCAGTAGAAAATAATATATTCATTAACAGTCGGTCAAAAACAGAAATATAAATATAAATATAAATCACATGTAAAATTTTCATGCAGAAAAATTAAAATATAATCACCAATTAATTTATTTTTCATAAAATAAAATAAAATAACTTAAATTTAAATTTTTATTTTGTTTTGTTTTGAGATGTTTGTTAATAATTTGATGAATTTTTCTTTTATAATTTTACAATTTTTGCTTTATTTTTTTCTTTGATCTGCTAGTTTTACCTATTGTTTTTTGAATTCTTGTTATAATAGTTTTTTTTAATTAATTTTGTATATTTTATTAGTTTGTTTTTAGTAAAGCTAGAAAAATTATCAATTTTTCCTTACAATATATGTTTTGATTTTAGATTAAATCATGAACAAAATTGGAAGAATTGATTTTTTTTTTGAAAAAAATTTATTAATAACTAACAACTTAATAAACTAACTCTAATATGTAATATTGAAGTTATGGTTGAGCGGTCCCAATGTACTTCAATTTACAAAGAACCTGTATTGATTAATGAGCAATCTTTTACTATAATTGACATTGCTCATTTAATTAGAGATTCAGGCAATCGTTTTTAAATTTAAAAATACCCGAATAATCAACAAGAAAAAATTCAAAAGGCATACATTAATCTGAAATCATATCAATATTTGATATCTGAATACCGGTAAAAAACATCATCATCGATTTTAGTCTCATTAGTTCAAAAGTTATCCATGACTTGAACATTCAAAGAAAAATATTTCATTTTGTTTTCTTTATTATATATTCTTAAGTAAATCATTTGGAATATTAAAAGATTTAATTGTTGGAAAAAAATTAATGATAGAAAACAATGTGTTTTTTTAATTTATATTGTAAAAGGTTCAAATTATATGTTTATAGTAAGTTATTTGAATAAAATTAAATTATATAATTTTTTTTTACAACTTATGTATAATAAATTTTAAAAATATTATATCTTATTATATTAATTTTAACCCCTTAACAAATAATGGTTGCTACACCCCTGGTCGCCCGTCAACTTGTTCTTTCTGATGCTGAGCTTGAGAAGAGAATGAAGTTTGAGACATGTGACATAGTCAATGTTAAAGAGAAGGTGAGCGAATATGATTGTATATTTCTGGCTGCTTTGGTTGGTCTCAACAAAGACGAGAAATTGAAGATTCTAGCCATTTAAAGAAGTACATGAAGGAAGGTGGAATTCTGCTCGTTAGGAGTGCAAACGGAGCCAGAGCATTTCTTTACCCTGTTGTCGAGGAACATGATTTGATTGGATTTGAGCTTCTCTCCATCTTTCATCCTACTAATGATGTGATCAACTCGGTTATTCTCGTGCGCAAGCCTGTCTTCTGAAGTATAATAGTTCTTTGATCTGCCATTTTCTCTAGACCCTTTCTGGGGGGGGCGCAAAACTTGCATCTCAGGCCCTTCTGTGCCTTTGTTTTATGTTTTTTATTTTCTAAAATTCGGGATTTTTCCTTGCGTTACGTGCTTTTATGTCTTGTATCATCAAAGAAGTATATGATCTGAAATTTTCAAATTTTTGAAAAAACATGATTTCAAACCGTAGACGAGATGTGCGAAATGTTTATAGCGATGCTTGCTTCACCAGATGAAGTTGAATTATATTATATAGACACCACAAACCACAAGATGTGGATTAGCTGTTCGGAAAAAACGCAAACACCAGAGATTAGTCAGAGTTCTAAGGTACACTGTAAAATCACAAATAAATTTGCATTTCTGGTTTGGCGTGGTAGATTGCAAGAGCTTCAGAAGGAAGGACTTCACAAATCATAGCCTAGGAGTCGCATCACTGTTAAACTGCCAGGGAGGAGAAAACGTTGTGTTATGCTTTTGTCTGACTGTTGAACATGTCTGTACCATTATCAAAGGGCTAATATCAAATTGCCATTTTGTCAGTCTGAAGAAAACTATAGCCTGAAAAGTCATCATTCTAGCTACAGGTCAATTAAAAGATGAGAAACGATAAATTAACGAGCTTAAATATTACTTGTTATTTCAGTGCATATATGTAGTTACCTGGTTGACCATGTCGCTAATTTCCTCATCCATGAATAACTTAGCTTCCTCACTATTCATGAAGTCTTCCAGCAGTGATTTTTGGTCCCTGTATGCACAGTGACTATCATGCGCTCTAAAGTTTGAAGTTCCACTTCCACAGAGATTCATAGAAATTCCTTCACCATATTGCCCTGAAGATAAAGAACATATTGTCTTTATCATTGTGCTATAACAACAGCTAGTCTTTGTTTTTTCTCTTTTTTTTCCAAGTTTATTCTGAATTTCTTTACCATAGTTTCCCTTAATTTCCCATTAGACAAATCTGTTCGGGGCTGGATGCGGTGGTTCAACTTTGTGACAAATATAAACCAATAACAACATACACAGATCATAAAATACTCAGAATAAAGGTGCAAAAATTACATACCAGGAAAATAACTCGGATTAGAAAGAACAGAAGCTGGGCTCGTGTCAATTGAAGTATGTCCATGCATCGGAAAGGACGGTTTGAAAGAAGCAGCAGGAGAGCATAAAAGAGGTGACAGATTACAAAGACCAGGATCGTGGCCGAAAGACTGAGATCCCGTGTACTCAGTAGGCAATTTCCATGTCGAACTAGATGCTGAGAAGTTTAAACCTTTGAATTCTGGCACTGGAACAGGTTTTCTCATTGTGATATTGCTAGGTAGCGAGTTTTCTAGGAAAACATTCTGTTTACTTGGTTGAAAAAACATTCGTTTCGAATCTGTAAAAGAACTAGCTAGTGATTGTGACTTCTGTGTAGAATCACCGTAAGTGTTCCAAAGACCGTTCTTTGTGGCTGAAACTCTTCCATACCTATTCAAATCAGTCCCTGCGTTGTCTTGTTGGTTCATTTTATCCTTGTGCTTCTTCAACAAGTTTCGATATTTCTGTTACACAGAGAAAGAAGAAGACAAAAAAGTAACCAATACCTTCAGTCCCATTAAACTGGCAAAAGATACTCTGTTGCCTACTACATTAATCATTAAATAGTCAGAAATTGCATCGCCTAATCAATATCAATAGCTATTACGTTGTAACGTAGATGTTGAATGAGAGAGTGTCTGATCTAACTTACCTGAAGATGACTGGCAATGTTTTCTCGACTAAGACCTTCCACGTTCATCATTTCACGAATTCTTTTGGGCTGAACTCCTACATGAACATCAAAGATACTCTTGTAAGAACACAAATATGCTAAGACAAGCTAAGCCCATGAAAACATAGGCACGATATGAATAAAATTACTAATCCTGTCACTCTCTCGCAAAGACTGTAGAAGAAAACTTACTCTCTCCACGTGCGTCCAGTTTCTCAACACAATCAACAAACTTAACATGGAGCTCGGAGGACCATGTCACCCTGGGTTTTTTACCACTACAAGCATCGCCATTTGGGTTACCGATAATTTCTTTCTTTTTGACCCCCGTGAGCTCTGCCTCTGCCTTGGTTTCGGTTGGCACTGATTCTTGTTCAATTGTTTCCTTTGTAAAGCTACTAGATTTATCGGAAGAATCAGAGAGCCTCTTCCTTACAACATGCTGCCATATATTTTGCATTTCCTGTATTCTTACAGGTTTTAAGAGATAGTCTCTGGCCCCATGTCTTATTCCCTTCATAATGCTGCTTTGACTGTCCTCTGCCGAGACCACTGCAATTACTCCACAAAAAATATACATTTATTCTGTAGTAATTAACCAAGGAAAGGCATGAACAAAGACATTAGGATTGGTGCAGTGGACGTTGTAAGCTTACGAATCACGGGTAAGTCCATTTCAAGGCCTATGATCTCCAACAGCTTGAAACCATCCATGTCAAGCCTTTTAACATCAGTAATAACAACGTGGTAATCATTCTTGTTTTCCCTCAAAATCTTCAAAGCTTCAGCTGCTAATGTTGTTGATGTAACTACAAGAAATTAAGAAGGAAAACATCAAGCTAGATGTAAGATTATATATATTCAATGAATATCGACCATGTCAATGTCTTCTATCTGATTTATAACCTTCATCATAATTGCGGGAATTTTTCAATGAACTCATAAATGATCCACAATATCCAATTGGATTAGTTCCTCAGCTATTTATTTCATACCAAGATGATAATTATTTCAAAATCTGCAAAGTAAAATACATACTAAATACTAACATTTAACGTTGACCATCATGGTAAAATATATACTAGCTAATTACACACATAACATCATATAAGATTTCATCCCGTACTGTCAGGCCATAAATATAAGCCAAACCCTTTTCGGACAATTTTTTTCTTGTAGCTATAGTGTGTCGTTTAAAGAAAAAAAATAAATATATATAGTAATTTGGCGTTGTCTCTTTTCTTCTCGTTAAGAGTTTGACATTGGAGTTATTAAAAAGAAAAAAAAAAGATTAAAAGAGACATTCATAAATATTAATGGGGAAGTGTCGTGTTTCTACATAGTGATTAAAATCATTGGAATAGAAAGATGGATCTGGCAAACTAGCGAGGATACTAGGGTTTTGCTGACAATTACTGATCAGCTTTTTCCACCTTAAACCAGCTCGGATTAATTTTGTTTAGGGCAACATTCAAATTAATCCCTTTTAATTTGAATTATATAATCTTGTAATCATCTCTTTCTAAGACGGTTCATCACTAGTTCCTTTACAAATTCCAAATTCTTCTCTCTTTGTTTATGCTTCTACTTCGAATTATATAATCTTCACTTACGTGATAAGGAAAACTAGCATAATATTTAAGGCACACATAATTAAGAATAATATTATAAGGGAAACTCAAAACCCTAGATTAGTAAAAAACAGTTTAACTAACGATACCTAAACTGAAACAAACTAGCAATTCTCTTACGTCCAAAATCTCCACATAAACTCATAAAAGTTTATATAACTAAAGAACTAGCGATAGGAGTAATTAACAAACCTCTGTATTGACACTTTCGGAGGATGGCTACTAAATACTTGAGGCAGACAACGTTAGCATCAATGGCTAGAACTCGCAAATCCGCGGGATTGAACATGTCTCCACGGCCCTTGTCATGCATTGATATCTCACTCACTTCATCATTATTCTTAGCCATATTAGGCTTCAAATCAAGATTCTCAATCGCTTTCTAGAGATTGCGCAATGAAGGGCTTCGTAAACCTTGTGATGGGAAAAGGAAATTTACATATACGTGTAGAGGAGCAATAATTGTAACCATTTAAGACTACTATATATATAATTGAATACTCACGAGAGAAAAGTTACTATAATTTGATGCTATTAATTAATTGATTAATTGATGGAGATACAATGCTGCTTAAATATTGTTTCACGTCTCTAAATCAAGAAATAATGGACAGGTCATCAAATTTAATTTCCCTCAATAATCCTTCTTTATTGTTAGAGAGTCGCCTTTTAAAAAAAAAAATAAGAACAAATAGTTTTACTAGTGAATCATATTGTTTTGACATGATGATATTAAAAATAAATTTTCAAAAATAATATAAATATATATTATTTTAATATATTTTCAAATAAAAAACATAAAAATAACAAGAAAAAAAATACCCAATTCAATAATAACATTAGTACACCGAAGACTCTGAACCAAAACAAGACCAGACGAAAAGCCCACAGTTGAGCAATCATATCAGTTGCATAGCCAGTAGACCCAGAGAAATCTTTAAAAAATAACAAGAAAAAAAATACCCAATTCAATAATAACATTAGAACACTGAAGACTCTGAACCAAAACAAGACCAGACGAAAAGCCCACAGTTGAGCAATCATATCAGTTGCATAGCCAGTAGACCCAGAGAAATCTTTAATCCACAAGCCATGATGATCCCTAATGGTCTCCACCACCTGCCTTTCCTGGGTTTTCACAGCTGGACTACGAGAATGGTCCTGGGCCTCGAATTCTAAAAATTAAAAGATTTATGGATTTCTTTTCAATTTCTATATATGCTTTTCTTTTTAATAAAGATTTTCTATGCTTATTAATTCAACAATTTTTTAATTTGAATTGAAGGAAAACTTAACTCTGATTTGATTTAAAAAGATATATCAACAGATACATTAAACTCCTAAACATCATATAAATATATCAAAAGGTGTGATTATGTCTAATCTGTTTTAACTCTTTTGGTTGCCCAGTTATCAGCTTCCCAAAGACTCCAGAAAATCTTCATTGCTTGATTCTTAGGAGAAGGCAAGTCATGGGTCGGCCAAATTGATTTGTCAAAAGCAAAACAACATTCTATTATTTTAAAAAATTAATACACATCATTTCAAATTTTTTTAACTAATATATCATTTTAGAATTTTGTTTTTAATAAATATCGTTATTTTAAAATAAAACTAAGGAAACAATTCAAATAAAATTAAAGAAAAAAAACCATGTCATTGTTTTATTTTTCTTACATAAAAATTGTTTTGAAAAATATAAAAAATTAAAATGAAATTATTTAAAAAAATTGCTCCAGTCAATTAACTAATCAAATCATCAAAATTTTTCTATATCAACTAAAAAACTTAACTCAAAGTAAAACCTAGATTAATGATGATTGAGTTGACTCGCCAAACTAAATTTTAAAATAATTGAATTACAATTACAATTGGTTCAGCTATCTTTTTATTTTGTATTAACAAGTAATTTCAATCAGAGAAAAAAAGAGACTAGTAATTTGAATTAACATATATAATTGTGTTGACTTGAATTTTTGTTTTTGGTTTTTTGTTAAGTTGCTTGATATTTTTTTACAATTGAATTTTTTTTTTTGTTTTTGTTTTTTTGTTAAGTTGCTTGATATTTTTTTATGAGTGTGAGTATTATTAAAGTTGTTTTTTAAAGTGTTTTTAACTTATAAATATATTAAAATAATTTTTTTTTTATTTTTAATATAAGCACATCAAAATGATCTAAAAACATAAAAAAAAATATTAATTTAAAGTAAAATAAAAAATATTTTTTTTTAAATTTTTTTTAAAATATTTTTATAACACAAAAACAAAAAGACACAAATGTGGTTAAAACTTGTAATAAAGTGATTCCATATGCTTCAGAAAATGGCAAGTTGTCTGAGTATAGAGAGGTCACATACAATAAGCAATCCCTTGGAGGGAAGATGATGGTTCCATGAAAATTCTGTGATCACAAACTGTTTTCACTGGTTTTATCTAACTTTTTAAATCAATCATGCCAACTGGGTCAAATACAGGCCTCTTGCCCAACAGTCGTCCATTCGTAATAATGATAGAAGCCTTCATTCATCATAGCAATATACTAGATAGATGGTTTGCGCCATGCTACAGTGATAAAAATCATAGTCTAGAGGCAACACAATGAATGATAAATAAATGAACGGTAGAAATTCAGATTTTCTGCAATAACAAGTTAATTTCCTGTTGCTGCTTACCAGCGTATGCTTATTTTTTCCTTTCTGACGATGCCAAATATTTAATATGGAAGTAAATTACACTAATTTATGTTTGAGAAAACAGAGGTCATTCATTCTAAAAATTACATGCAAATATTACTTATGTACAACATGCAACCAAATTATGTTCATATATAAGTATATATATGGTGATTGAAATCTAGGAGTTACAAGCTATATTCATATATATGGTGATTAAAATTTAGGGTTTACATATTCACACTACACTCTGGAGGGAAGCCTAGAGGGAATCGCTTTGTGTCCGTGCAATAATTGTAAATCATGAAATTCTTTTGCACCCACTTGAGCCTTTGGAAACTTGTGGCATCCAATTTTTGCCATAGCCAAGATTTCCTTGAAGGGCAAGCTGCTCTGCCAGAAGACCAAATACAAGCGTCAGCTTTGAAGTTCCTGTAAGAAGCAGTGAAAGGAGCTCGAGTCCAGTCAGTCTTGATAAGACCGCCTCTAGTGGCCCAGTCATCAGCGTTCCAGAGGCTTGAGTATATTCTCATTTGTTGTTTCTTTGGGAAGGGAACCCCAATTGACTCCAAATTCTTGAACTCTCTAATGGGTTTCCCGTCAACTGAGAAGCTGAAAAAGATAACAAAGAACCAAGTTATGAAGGAGATAGAAATTAAAAATGAAAAAACCACAAGAAGGATAGTAACGATTCCGACATGATGAGTTTGGGATTCCATAGAATGGAATAGGTGTGAAAGTCTGCCGTGGGATCAAACCATAGACGAAATTGTTGCTCCCTGTCACCCTTGCCTTGACTGTAAACATTAGTATGTAGCGTGTAAGGATCTCCGCTTAAGTTGCCTAAGAATTCAAAGTCCATCTCATCCCATGAATTCCCTGGTGATTTCAGCTGAAATACAAACATTAATGATATGTATTAGGATTCTTATCATAGCTTGCTGGCGTCGTTGAATTATGAAGTAGACATGTTCAAAAAGAAACTATAAATTACATAGTAGGTAGTGACAGTGCCAGCAGAGTTGCCAGGTACAAGTTTGAGCTGCATGTCAATCTTGCCAAAGAGATACTCATTCTTTGATTGAAATCCTGAGCCCGAAGTTTTGTCAAGAGACAGAGTAAGAAGGTCTCCGTTGTTGAGTATCTTACCACGGCCATTTCCCCAGGATATGTCAAATTCTTGGTTGAATTTACTAGCGATACAAGAAACAATCAAAGAGCTATCCAAGAGAGAAATCAGCAGAAAATTTAAAATACCAGTACTTGACTTATAAGAAGCCATTGATTCAGACCCCATACAAGGTGGAAATGAGATCCAGAAATTGTAAATTGATTCGAACAGGGCACTGTAAATATAGGCAAGGATAGCAAGTAAAAGGACAGAAAGCATTATACATGTGTTTTTGGAAGGTTCCTTATCGTCGAGAACTTGAATTTGAAGTTGTCAACAATGGCAAGTGCTGGCATAAATGAAAAAAAATAAATAAATCAAGAAATGGTCCAAAACTTGTGATACTTTTCATTTCATTCCCTAGCTGGAACTATTATGACATTTGCATGGCCAAATGTTCATTGTTTATCCGTCTCAAATTTGGTGATGATAATCCATTCCCACCATACACAATTTGAGCCTTTGAACCATCACCAGACTCCAAAATGGCTGCTCCATGCTTACTCTCTACTGTCATCCTCCAGCATGAAAGTACTGCCTGTCAAAATCTCAGGAACATATTTGCTTTTAGGCAAATATAGTCGTTCGTCTTTTTTTGGTGACTGTATTGTATCGTCACTGATTAGTACCATCTAGCTTTGGGATTTTTTTAAGAAAATTAGCATGGTAGATTTAAATTTTCATTAAATACTATAAAAAATCTAATTAAATAATATATTTTAATTAAATAATATAAAATATTTTAATGTTATATTTTAAGAAGCTAGTGTCATGCTTTTGAAATGTAACATCAATAAATATTTAAGTTTATAATCACAATAAAATGATAATTAATATCAGATTAATAACCATAATATTTAGTCAAATATCATATTTTTAAATTATAATATTATTGAAATATATGTTAAACCATGATATTCTTAAACTGTGCTATTTCAAAAAAAAAAAATATATCATGTGTTAATTCATTATTTAATTATATTTTGTATGCTATTTTTTTAATATATCCCTTGTTTTTAAGGTCCATGCTCGAGAAATCATGTACTAAAATTATTACAAGAACAAACTATTAATTTCATTACCACAATCCATTATTATAGTGATATTTGAAAATATAGTAATGTTTTTTTAAAAAATATTTTTTTACTTGAAAATATATTAAAATAATATATTTTATTTTAAAAAATTATTTTTAATATTAATATATTAAAATGATATGAAAATAAAAAAAATTATTTTTATATAAAACATTTAAATTCTCCCAACCCCAGTTTAGAATGCAACCAGTTTAGAATGCAACTTAAAACAGGTGCTACAACTTTAAATTGAACTTTGAAAGAAAAAAATAAAATAAAATAAAATACTTGCCATTAGATGAAGGGGTCTCAAAAAAAATACTTGCCATTAGATGAAGGGGTCTCAAAAGTGGTTAGTTTTTGAGGTGAAAGGAGGACCAAATATCATTAAATGCAATTCTCAAAATCAGATAAGATCACAGGCTTACTA